CAAAGTTTTTTGACAAAACATAAAATCACCCAAGTGACTCAGCTCCCCCTACAGCCCAGATTTGGCGCCCTGCAACTTCTGGCTTTTCACAAAACTAAAATCAGCTTTGAAAGGGAAGAGATTTCAGATCATTCATGAGATTCAGGAAAATACAACAGGGCAGCTGATGGCAATTGGGAGAACTGTATGAGGTCCCAAGATGACTACTTTGAAGGGGACAAAAACGTCAATGTCCTATGTACAATGTTTCTTGTATCTTGTATCTTCTTCAGTAAATGTCTCTATTTTTTCATAGTACATAGCTGGATACCTTCTGGACAGACCTCATATATTGTTATAAAGCTATAGAAATTTAGACAATGTGATTTTGGCAAAAATTTTATAGTATCAGGTTGGCCATAATATGGAGCAAAAGGAACTCTCATTTTCTGTGGGTGGAGTTGTAAATTGGTGTAATTACTCTTAAAAAAAGTTGGCCTAACCCAATAAAGTTCAACCTGTGTTTAATGAACAAATCAGCAGTTCCAATTCAGGTAAATACAGGGTAGGAACATGATACCGGGGCAATGCACAACACTGCTTATAATAGGGGGAAAAAACGGAAATATTCTAAAAGTTTGACAGTAGAGCATATAAATACTCATATACCACAAAGTAGCTAATGAAATGCAGTGAAATACTGGCACCAGTACAAACGATTGTACTACCTAGTCAGCAAAGCAACGTGGAGGAATCTCACACACATAATATTGAGTGGACAAAAGCAAGTCATATTGGAGCTTGTCCGTCTATTTTTTGGCTCAAAAGCACACAGTATAATAGTGTGAGATTCCTCCATGTTGACTCATTTGCAGGATGGCTGCAGCGGCTCTGGCCTTCAAATCCTCTCTTATTTGTGTCTAGTAGGAACAGGAATGGGTGTGTTTCCCTAGTAATTTTAATAAAATACCCCAAATTATGTCTCATTGGCCCTGATCAGTCTGGTCTGAGCCACGTGCCTATCCATGAACCAATCAAAGTATATAGAGAAGTGACACATAATGAATGGCTTAACCTAATTAATGTCATTCAAAGCAAATGGGCTGGGAGTAGGGAGAGGGAGAGGAAAACGCTAGTATAGTTGCCAGAAGGAGGGTGGATGGACATCAGCCTTCAAAAATAGCAGATGCTATTACTCTGTGTGCTTTCAACAGCCCGTTTAAGAAGGTTTGTATTACACAAGCTGTTGTTAGTTGCTTACGGCCTAGGAAGGAAATGAGGCTGCTAAAAGAAGGACAGATAGGAGGCAGAATGTGGTTTCTATGGTGCAGCGGACCTAGAGTCCTAAGTTGCCTAGCAAATCAGAATGGACAGACGTGAGGCGACACCCCAGCGCGGCAGGTGTGGGCAGAAGCAGGACTCCAGTCCAAGCGCAGAGATTCCTTTTGGATTTGCATGACCAGGTTGTGTATCCCTTCAAAAATACTTTGTTTTTGTCTACTTGACCATCTCTTTCAGATCCTTATGGGGGGAACATTTGGAGATTTGCCCCGCTTTGGCAGTATTACTATGAACTATATTATAATCTACACTGGTCTATAGACCTGTGATTTCTTGTACCTCCTCACGTGGATTTCCACCCTCACTTGGTTTCTTCTATGAATTTCATGTGTTTTACCCAAGAAATAAAGAGAACAAATTTTGTGTGCTTATAAACAAATCTTCAGGGCTTTTGTATTTCAAATAATTGACATTTTAGGTAAGATAGTTATAGTTTGGGGTTTTTTCACAGTTCTTATCATAAGTGGTTTTTTAAAAAATCAGACACGACTTTTAAATCATTCTTTGTCTAAACATCACCTAATTCAGGCCATTAAAAGCTATATTTATCCAGTTCCTGGGTATGGTGGTCCTCCAAAGCTAACAAGCCTTTTAGTTTGGTCTCTTCTGTGGGTAATTTTTGTTAACATTCATTTTGGAATAACTAGAATTGATCCCCTGGTTATTGTTAGGGACACAAAGCTTTTAGTCTCTCTCTGCACTCTGTCGTCTAAAATTAAGAATCAGCTTATTTTAGATGGTGTAGTTAAAAGGATAAGGTGACATATTGGATTTGTGTCTCCTTTTTACAAAACCAACCCTGACACTGATTTATTTTTATTCTCAAAAGCACACTAGTTGTGTTTTGCCTATGTAACTTATTTTAAACCTCACCTTGCCCACACTCCAGACTATAAGTTCAGCATTGTTCTGTGGCCAAGAGCAATAAAACGTGACCAGTTTTGCCATGAGTCAGTGCAGTGCAGTCAGCATTTTCTTTTCACAAATATAACATCAATGGATATTTATAACATTCCTCCAACCTTCAAAAGTGGATTTTTTTTTTTTACATAAAATTCTATTTTTATTTAATGTCCTAAGTATAGCATGTTAGTGGATTTTGCACTTCGGCCTGGATACTCAAATTTTTTTAATCCTATCTTGAATTTATAGAACAGCCTCTGGGGTCCTGAAGTATTCACCTATAAATAAGCATCACTGATTGTAAAAGCTCTCTCACTGTTCTCGTATTCCTATAATGGTAGTTCACTTTCTACAGGCCAAAAATATAAATTCATTGGTTTACCTTGTATTGAATTTCCTGGCTATATGATGCTCCCCCTCCCCCACCTTTTTGTAGAAGTATCTTTGTACTTTTCATCATTTCTCATGAGGAAAGCAGTATCCTACAGATTCCCGTAAGTGTTTTCTATATAAATCCTTCATTATAAGCATAATTTTGTTGACTGTGATCTATTTTCACACTGTCTTCATTTTCACTCATTTGTGACTGGTCATTGCTGCCAACGGACAAAACACATTGCTTTTTAAGTGTTGTTTTCTCAGATCATCCCGCAGTACCTTTACTATTTCCAGTTGGATACTTTTTAGATATTTCTCTTGAGTTTTCTAGGTATTCAAACTTGTCACCTGCTGATGGTGGTAATTTAGTTTGTTCATTTCCTCTCACTATTGCATTGTGAGCACCTTTGATTTTGTTCTGACTTTTTAATAAAAATGTTGTCTGTAGGTTTTTTTAATCTTTTTTTAAAAATCACTGTAAGTGATCTATTTCTAGGTTGCAGAGAGGTTATCAGATATTGGTGCTGAGTTTATCATGTGTCATTTTGGCATCCTTGAAAATATGACTATGTGTTGCTCTCTTGTAACCTATTGAGAGGGCATACTAGATCTACTTATAGAATGTTTCTAGAAGAAGCCCTATAAATATTGTTGTATCATTATTTTAATATACTAGAAATTGAATTTTCTGAGCACTTTATTTAGTACTCTTCTATCTCATTTGAGTCAAGCAAGCCTCTTACATTTTGTTTTTCTGTCTTTGTGTCTTATCACGCCTCATGCACATTTGGTTATCAGCCTGGGCAGGCTTCATCGAACAAACTGGAAGCCTCATGCGTTCAGATCCTGAAAGCTCCTTATATAGTTTGGGGATAATCTAACTCTTAAAGTAAACCACATTCCTTAGGTTTTAAGTTTTTATATTTTTGGTTCAGTTTTAATAATTAAATACCATATTAGAAAACTCCATTGAGATGTTTAAATTTACTCACAAGGATATTTTTATGTAGTGCCATTAATGTTTTAATCTCTTCCATATCTATAATATATTCTTCTAACAATTTTGGTTTCACGTTGCATTTTATGATTAGATTTGTCTGAAATCTGTCTAAAGGGTATTTCATTCTATAATGAACCAGCAACTGCTTTTTAAATATCTGGATACAAAATCACCGCTTTTTTTAATTTCTGCCTGTTCTAGATTATATTTATTGTTGTTTTTCAACTCTACTGAGTTTAAATATTTAATTCATTTCTTTGTTCTCTCAAATTACAATAGAGAGAAGTAGCGTTACAAATGAAACTACATTTTTTACTCCCTGTATACAAAATGCAATTTGCTCATCTTTACTATCTACCCCCACTCTTGCCCCTCTTTTTAATAACATGATCTAGGATTTCAGACTTAGATGCAGCTAGTTATTATAGTAAAGCTTTTAATTACATTTTTTTCAAAATTTTTGAAAGTTTGCACTTGATTCGGACTGCAGTTGGAATAATTCGCACACTTGATTCCTTCGTTCCCTTCCTTCAATGCCGTCTACCAATGCTACTACTATGTGACCACTTTTTCACTCTTAACTTTTAATTTTGATTCATCCCTCAGCAAATGGAATATTTTCAAGTAACACTTTCATGAAGATACCCAGCTAGTAGATTTCTAGGCACATTTGTTTTTTCCTTTAAAAGCCTAAAAACTTGAAAATATCTGTGGTTCCTTCTTTTTAAAAACAGTGACCAGAAAAACAGCAATCCCAAATTTCTCCAGATGTAAGCATCACCCCCATGAACATCTACACCCCCCCACCCTCAGCAACTTTTCAAATATGTAAGATGAGAGGAATTATGGAATATAACCACAGAGAAGCACTCAGAGAGAGAGTAGCCTTAGAAAGTTGTTCCCGTCCTGCGGAGGACTTGTGTTTGGGATATAGGGCTACTCTGGTTGAGACTGAGTGAAATAGTTCGTTTTCTCTCCACTCCTTGGGGCTTCATTCCTCCACGTAGATAAATTCTTCCTGGCCTCTGGCAAGTCAATGACCTTAGTTATTAAGTGCTATTGAAAGTTCAAGTCTCTTTTGAATTTTCTAAGTATGCTGAAGGGAGGGGAAAGACAAAGATTGGATGTCAGTAATTTTCTAATACCATATCCTGTAATTTCCTTTTTGTTTTTAAATTAGTAATTGTTATGATTATTACATTAGGTCTGTTATAGACCAGTAACATAGATGTGACATTTTCCTGGGAAACTGTGGGCCTTTTTGAATCCAGTCTTCCATTTGCTACTTAAAAATGAGCCCTGATTCTCATCCATGTGGAAAAGTAATGTTTAAGTTTTTACTTTTAACAATTTATTTTTTGTGTTTCCACTACAGGTGAAGACGGATATTAGGAGCCCGTGGGTGACCACGTGGGAAAGGCTGCCTTCAGCTATAAAAGTGAGCTGTTTTTATTTTTTGCCATTGAGTATGAACCATATTAAAAGATTAATATAGTCACAGTTTAGGTTTGTTAGATATTTTTGTAAATATAAGTACAGCATAGGCACAGTTTTTCTTGCTTTTAACTATTTTGTAAGACAATAACAAATATTCTAACTCCAGGATGAATTAGGAAAGAAAATGCGTACTTCAAAAGACATACATGAAGAATAAAAATGGAATCGGGAAGAGTAAACAATAGTGTGACCCGGTTTGGAGTCATTTCTTCCTGTTGGCCTTCTAGTTAAAGAGTCGGTCTTTCCGTAGTATTGTAAATGCTTCTCATTGGCCAGAAAAGTTCTTCTTGTCTTTTTTTAACTTCTTTTTCTTCAGGATTTAAAATCTCAATCCAATTTTGTGGTGGTAGTATTTGAAAAGTCACAATAAATGATAAAAGGCAAAAGGAAGGAAGAGGATATGCCCCCTTTTTAAAAAAAGTCTAGGCCATTACTTTACTCTCTTTCTTTCCCAAATACTTTAATTTATCATACTCTGACCATAGGATAAGCTATTTGTCAAGACCTGGAATGTTGAACTAACATTGCTCAATAACATATCAAATGCTTACTAGAACGATAGGAATAGATGAAGAAACTCGGTCTGGTAGGTATAGCATGGTAACACTTTTTACTCACGAGTTTATATTTTCAGTTTTACACCAGGTCTTTTTGTTTAAACAAACAGTAAAATAAAAACAAAATTAAAAGCCTAAGTGTTATAATGGTTAGAGCTTTGTTGCCTTAAACTAGCAAAATAATAATACATTACTGGAATCATAAATATTTGATACACTGCATTATTCTTCTTGAAGTGCTCAGAGTTACAAAGACAAATGGTATTTTAATGGCATAAAGATGACTTTGCTTGTGTCAGAGTTCAGAGTTCACTGGTGTTTGGTTAACTGGTAAAACAATGGTTTGCTTACTGCAGATCCTCATTACTGGCAAGAAAGTCCCAGGAGACCTTTTGCCTAACCCATGACTCCAGCGCTGGGTAGCATAAACATTAAGAGCCTGTGGTTCAGAGTTAGTTGACTTATCCATTAGGCACAGTGCCCAGGGTCTGTGATGCTTTTAGTGGCCACGAAAATGTTTTAATTGTAATTTCTTTCAGAAGCAGGATAAAATGAATAAAATAATAGTGAATGTATCCTAATGAACCTAGCCTGGGTTATATTCTTTATACTAGTGCAGTCATATGTTTTAACCTTTTTTTATGGAAGAAGCCAACATGCACAGAACCCAAGAACATCATCTTCACTGGGTTACAGGCTTACTTTCCACACACGACAGTTTCAGTCACCTGAACCCTTTTTGTTTTTTGGAAAGGAGTAATCACTTTTTTCATAGATGACAATCTTTTCTCTAAATGAGTTTATACACTTGTTTGCTCATCAGCAAGATGCATGGTTCTATTTACAAAGAAAGAAATGACATATTGTTACGTTAGCTATGGTACTTCATTACGTTTTCCTAGAATAAAATAAAAAATGTCTCCCCTGAGATACCCATTGATATTCTGTTTGCTGTGTTATAGGCTATGGAAAGTACGGGAAGGGATGGCGAGACTGGACTGGGATTTTCGGTCCCACTTTCGCCCGCGGGGCATGGGTTCCAATGGCAGAGGGCCTCACCCTGCCCGCTCGCTGCTGCCAGAGTCCAGAATTTTATTTAGCTCTCTCGTGATTGCTGATCTGTATTCCTCTGTACACAGCATTTTCTATTACAGTGACTGATCTGGTTTTGTTTGTTTCTGAAACCATGATCTAGTTTGGGAGGAAATATTTCTGTTGGTCTTCGACTGCTGTGACCATATAAATTGTGCACAGAATATCTTCTGAAAATCACTTGTTGATTTAAAGTTAGTGTGTTGCATGCCTGTGGGGCTGCTTTTGCAAACTAGGTGCCCATTCAAGTATAAACTCCCTGAGAGCCAGGACCTCTAAATGTTTTGTTTGTTGCTATATACTCTAGAAAGAGCCAGACATATAAAAGAAGCTCCAATGTTTGCTGGAAGAACGAATGAGCTAATTTCCTTCTGGGGGAGTCGTGCCCCGACCCTTCCCTACTCCCATTAATAACAGTGGAGACTGGGTGCTGGAATGGCCAAGTCCCCAGTGCCCGGGAGGGGTGACCCTGTGCTGGTCAGTCCCTGTCTTGAGACTCATTTTACCCTTTTACAAAAACAGGCAGCTGGGCTGGAAGGAACCTTTTTAGTCTTCTAGTAATTAAAACAACAACCAAGATAGGGCATCGAATGGCCTAGTGGTCACCGGGCTCCCTCACCCCACCCTCTCACGCAGTTCAAGGTACCCTAAGCTTTCTCTTTCCAGTCCCCCCTCCCGGGGGAAAACATACCCCTGTATTTCCAAAACAGTTTGTCACTTTAAATGTATATGGCACGTTATCAAATTGATCAACACCCGCTCCTCAAAAAAAGCCATGCAAGACATCTCAAAAATATTCTGAAATTTTATTAACCAGTGTCACCCCCATAAATTCAATAAATAGATATTTTAAAAAGATAAACTGTTCTGAAATTGTTTGGGGTATATAAGGGAACTGACAAACCTCTAGTACTCAGACTAGCAAGTGTCTGGGAAGGTAGACAGAAATATGTATAGTACATCAATATAAAATAATAACCTGCCAGTCTGTTGCCCGCCTCGCTGGGGAAGCAAGCCAGCCTCTGCCATTGGGACCACTTAATCAAATTAAGATGGGAAAGCAAGAGAATTCTAGAGTGACGTGCCCCTCTCTCCAGCCACTGAAACCTAAGTCTGAGGGTGTTAACAGAAGGAACAAACTGACTTTAAATTCTTTTTTTTAAATCTCTTGACTTTAATTAGTAATACTTGATTAGGTACTGTTAATTTACAGACACTTTAGAAAAACGAGAACCTCTGTTGCGTAGTTTGATAACCCTAGAGGAACTAGAATGCATATATTTTTTCTGTTGATACAATGTGCGTGTGTGTGTGAGAGAGAGTCATCTTCAAGACTGCATTTTTTAAGTACCACCAAAAAAAAAACCATGTAAGCATATGCGCCCATTCAGATATACCTAATTTTTCCCTGCCGTGACCCTCAGTGCCTTCTTAGCCAGGGCTTCGCCTGCCCCAGCTCCTTGATGGAAGTGTTCAGGGAGAAGCAGCTGCTGGAAGCGCACAGCACAGGGCCGCCCGAGGAGAAGAAAGATGCCAACTCAGTGTTCGAGGGTGCACGCCGGGCACTGGGGTGCTTGGGGTCCTCACCGTGGCTGCTCTTGCTCTTGGATGCCAAGCCCATTAGACCGCTGAGTGCTAAACGTCACAAATGGTGTGTTTTCTCCCGATATTTGCTGTGACTAAGCACTGCTGTCGTGGTGCCTTGTGGTCCTTCTGTGTAGATGTGCTCCTCCCTGGAGGGGAAGCGTCAGTGCAGTTCCTTGCATCCCGATCAGTTGCAGGAGGGCTTCACATTGAACCCATCCCGGGTAGCAGCTGCTTCTCCATCACCTCGAAAGGGTGTAGTCTTGAAGCTGAAGACTGTGTGGGATTGGAAGATGGTGGCTTATTACCCCTAAATCTTACAATTTGGTGAAGACATGCCTAGGGAGGAATCGACACTGTACGTCCCTTCACATGTCCTATGAGTGACCTCACCGCTGTGTTCCCAGGGCCTTCTAAGTGCCTTACTTAGGGCGGAAGGCAGCTAATAGAAGAATAATCAGTGGCTACAGCATAAATGATTCACATTGTGAATAAATAAGTTGTTGTATTGAGCTAGACGTTACTAATAATATAACTCTCAGTACACTTCCCAGCACAGTGCCAGAGGACAGGCACTGAGTGCAGTGCAGAATCTTTTCAAAAGTCATTGAGATGCTTTGCTTCAGTTTCTTCTGCTGCAAAATCCCCTGATTGTGTTTTGACATGGTGGTGTCATGGAAATTTTTTTTTAATATATAATCAAAAGTGAAAACTGTTATAATAATTAAATATAGTGGTTACAAAAATAGAGCACAATATTACAGTCTTCAGAAAGATGGACTGATTTGATTCCAAGTACTGGGCACATCTCCTCTATTAAAAAACATTTCCTATTAAGGGATCTGGAGCTTGGTTGCACAACAGTGTGAATGTGCTTGGTACTCCTGAACTGCACTCAAAAATGGCTAAGATAGTAAATTGTATGTTATATGTATTTTACCACAATTTAAATATTTTTAAAAATATCACCTAGAAGTTTGCATACCTTAAGCGGGCATAGACACTAGACACCCTTAGGGGGCGGGGAGGGTGGGGCCCAGAAGAAGGAGACCTCCTCGCTGTTGACCCTTGGTTATAACTGATGGAGGGAATGAGAGGGCCCCCAACCACTCTTGAGAGAAGGAAATCAGTTTAAAGGAAAAGGTACTTGTTTTCTCATGGGGGCATGAGATTTGGAATGAGGAACTAGTTTCCCTTCCTGGCACTGAGCATGTGGGAGTTCTCAGGACACTGTGTCCTCAGTTTTGTGGAATTGTAGCTATAGGTCTCTGTCAAAAACAAGGAGGGGCAGAGGGCTTCATGGTCAAATAGGTTTGGGATTTAAGCAAAGTTAATAAGTTTCTTTTTCTGCAAAGGCTTTCCTGGACTGCCCTGAATGGTAGGCCTTCAACATGGAATGCGCTACTGGCAGGGTTTCCCAAACTTATTGAACCACGAATACCTCCTGCCCCCTGACCCCCGACAGCAACCTGCCCCACCTCCTACATTTTTAACCTATTGCGATGCAGTTCTATGGAAGTCTGCTACAGGCAGATTTAAGGTCAAGTGTGGGAAAGAAGAAGTGGCCCGCACAAACAGACATCGGTATAGAAGAAATAGAAATGAACTGAAGCCCTATTGTGACCCGTCCCTGTAGGGGGTCCCATGTACTAACTCCACGGGCTCCAGCTGGATAACCAGTCACAGGGCCAGCCCTCTAGTGTCCCAG